ATGCACGCACAGACGCACGGACGGACGGACGCACGGGCGCACGGACGGACGGACAGACAGACAGGTGTTCCTAGAAGGCTGCTAGAACAAAGGAGAAACTCCGGGGACACAGCTTTCCAATAAGTACAATTGCGACTTTCTCCAACAACTGTCGCTATGGGTGCTGCATTTGAACCTTGATCCCCTCAAAGGTGGCACTTCTGAAGATACGGAAAGGTCAGTGGGACTCTCCCGGGAAATGGGAAATCTACCATCAATTACATCTGGTAACATTGGAGTTCATTCTTAGTATTTCTTACCCTGGCAGCCGGTTGCTGAAGAACCGTTGACAAAGTACTCGCCTGCACACTCGGAACATGTACGAGTAGTGTGCGATGCCAGGCAGCTGCAGTGACCACCGATCGGATCACAGCTCGTGCTGCCTGCTACCTGGCCTGGAGCAGAGCAAGCACAGTCTGCAGGACGCGTACACACACACACACCACATACACATACACATACACATACACACGTCAAGGTACACAGTGAAACGCTCGAAGTGCTCTTCATTGTGGATTTCACATGCCCCAACCAACTATGACCTTTAGATTGTGACATGAGAAGCCTTGTGATCTGCTCGGAGATGCACTGTACATGTAATGTTTGCTACTTATTGCCTGTGCAATCATCTATTTAGTACAATACAGCAGAAATCCAGTTGTGGGCACAAACCCTTACCATTCGCCATGCCATGGAGCTCGGCCATTGCTCGCGACAGAATGCTGCGACACGTCACCGACAACTGCGATGCACTGGCGCTCAGTGCGTCACAACCACTGCTTCCACAGCCCGCCCCGGTGAACTCGGCGAGAGCACCGGATGTGCTGAACTGCGGCAGCTGGGTGACTTCGGGCACTAACACGATTGAGTCAATCAGCACCTGAGTGGAAATAGGAACAGAAATGAACATACGGATGTAGGAATGGAGCGCATGCTATGGCGTTCCAACACACAGATTAATTTATAGAAGAAAGTGTCGTGCAATGTTATCGCATGAGCTGATTGTTTAGTAACTGGTGGTGTTAGTGGACATTATAGTGTAACTTGTAGTTCCTTGGTCCTTTTTTCTTCTATAGACGCAGAATTCATTAGATAATAATCAAAGAGATGGCTAGCTTAACATTTCCACCAGCAACTTCCTTACCTCCACGTTGGAGCTGACAATGAACTCATATGAGACTTGCTCCGTGAACTGCACAGTTGTTAGGCGCACGACAGCTCCAGTCGGACTAGCAACGGCAGAGTAGGAGTCATCGGCGCCTCCACCCACGACACGCACAGTTACACTTACCGCACTACTCGTGTTGTAGCGCACGTACAGGCAGTACGACAGAGTCATCGGTACTTGCAGGGGACCGCGCCGCACACTGCCGGGTGACGCCGCCAAACGATAGTACCCTACGCCATTCGAGAGGTACTCGATGGTTGCCAGACTCTCCGCCTCGAGTCGGATGTGATCGATATCGGGTACGTAGCGTCCCGGTATGACACTCTCACATCGCCGTCCCGTGAACCCAGGTCGACACAAACACTGTCCAGTCACCGCATCGCACGTGTTGTGCGTGGAGTAGCCGAGAACGCAGGCGCACGGTTCGCAGCCCGCGGTGTTTCCGCTGGTCAGGTTGAAGAAGCCGTCCTTGCATGTGTTGCAACGCAGACCCTCGGTGTTGTCCTTGCAGCCGCACTGACCCGTCACGTTATGGCATGTCGTGTCGCCGTTCACAGTACCGCTGATCAAGCACTGGCAATCTATACATGCACACACACACACACACACACACACACGCGCGCGCGCACACATACACATTATATATAATATATATTGAAGAAGGTAGGCACAATGATGATCCTGACCCGTACCCATACAAATCACCAACGCTACGAATCATCCATCCGAGTAGGAGCAAGGGTGATCCGCAATCGTACACAAATCTACCACCCAAGTTACGAATGATCCACCCTCAATAGAAGCAAGGTAGCACCAAGGCAGTAAACACATTAGCTGGTCTAGCCACTGGGACATCTTCATGTACATCAACACTAAATCGATACCTTGTCATTAGGCAAGTTCGCCTGTTTGCTCATTGACTCCAGGGACGTCGGAAGGCATTTTAGGATGAGCCTACTGAAGTATAATTTACTCCCGGTGTCGGGGTGGCTCCTCAGAAAAATTTCCAAATTTAGAGGACACATCAGCGCATTTGATCAATTCACAGGGAGATTGGTATGGTCAATACCGTAGTGACCGTATCGTGCCTGACTGGACTCTAAAAGAGACAGACCAATCAACCAATGCAGCTGTTATGATGGATCGGCTTACCTGTGCATCCAGTATCGACATTGCTGTCGTACGCGTAGGCGTTGGGTTTGCACTGATGACACTGCATACCGCTGGTCAGACTCCGACACAAGCACAGGCCGTTCAGACCGGGAACGGGACTACGCCAATTCTTCAAGCAACGTGTCTGGTTGCTGATGGTACCACGGATATCACAGTTACAAGCTATATAAACATACCGGGGAACGAACAAATACCAGGGAGTGAGTAAAGGAGAGAAAGAAGGAAGGACGGAAGAGCCAGACGGGAGAGAGAGGGAGGGAGAGAGAGAGAGAGAGAGAGAGAGTCTGTGTGTGTGTGCGCGCGCGTGTGTGCGTGTGTGTGCGTGTGTGTGTGTGTGTGTGCGTGTGTACAGGTGAATGAGTGAGTGAGCGAGCTTCAGAGAGTGACTCTGTGTGTATGGTTTGAGTAAGTGAGTGAGTAAGTGAGTGTGTGAGTGTGTGAGAGTGAGACCGAGGGTGGTATGAAACACCAAACTATCCCAACACACGGCACAATGATGTTCAGCCTGATTCTCCAAGGCTGTATGAAAGACCATAGCACTTACGAAGGCACCAAGCGGAGTTGTTTGCGTAGAGATTGTCATCGGGATAATGGCCGTCAACACACTCCTCACAGTGAGGCCCCATGGTGTTGTGGAGGCAGTTCATACAATGGCCGCCTGATGGGCCGCTGATGCTTGCCAGAGAGTCCTCGAACAGAGTTTGATTGAACACGCACTGTCCGCTGTGCTGATTGCAATTGCACTCTGCAAACAAGAACATCCCAGTATTCAAACGAGCAGGTTTAGCCTAAACATACATGCACACACATAATAGCGAGAGTTCCCAGATTGCCTAGAGTGCTCAACACCACAAGGATGGAGCATTACCACAAAGGCAGAACAGAACAGAGACAGCCGGCTAGGTCATTGTTGTAACGCTGACGGTTTCCTGCACATAGCAAAGCTAAGGAAATCCTCACACATACGTCATCACCCCCACCCCCCCCCCCCCCACCCCCCTTGGGAGGAGGAGGGGAGGGGGTAAGTTTCATACACCATCAAATGTTCATTGATCATTAGAGAGGTGGCGCACAATGGAAATCCGTAAGATTTCGGCCGTCCGGGTTCGAGTAACGAAAGTTGCTGCGAAGATTAGTCCAAACGCGACCGAAACAGACTAGGATTAGGAACAAGTTCACACGTTGTGCGCAACCTCACGGTTTACGAATATTCGTTAGCTTTTTTTATCGTTACGGAGCCACAAATTTTGTTGTGGGCAACATCTCTATTGATAAAAATCGTGTCTTCTACCGTACATCTACCAGAACAAACAAAAACGCCTCGAAACTCGAGTTGGACCCTCTAACCGTACATGGTACTATTGTAGCATATTCACAGAGTCCACATTGACAAAACCCTCTCCTTGCACGCCAACCACGTCCGATATGCACGATTCGCTATCAAGCTCACCTTTGCACTCGAAAGGATTGCTATCCGTTGCTGGCATCCACGGCAAATCCACGAAGAAGTCCTGGCAAGTCATGCAATCGCTGCCCGTCGTTCTGTGCTCGCAAACACAGTTTCCGGTCAATGTGCTCGCTCCACCGTGTCCAAAACACTGCAGCTGCGAATAGATGGCGGCGTTGGACACACGATAGTAGTTGAACAAGTCCAGGCTCCGTCCGCTACTGCTGATCTCCGCCGCCGTTGGCCTGCTCACGTCGTCCAAGACGATTCGAACAGCGTTCGCACTCGTGAACCGCCTGTAATCTTCGTTCGTTTGGATGAGATGGTCGTGTGTATCTTGCTGCCCGACAACGCGTCCAGTCGATGACTGAAAGGTCAGAACGGTCTGGCTCGGGTCCAGCGGTTCACAGCGAGGTGTTCCCGGAGCACTGGAAACGTCCGCGTTGGGCATGATACCGTACGTGCTCATGCAATCCACGGCGAAGTAGGCTATCGCAGTCCACGTGCTGCCGCCGTCGATACTTTTCTCCATGAAAACACTTCGTGGTGGCTTGTCGAAGGACATGAGGAGGGAATGAACCAGATGCATGTTTGTGTAGCCAGAGAATGAGAGAATGACATTGGAGGATGTAGACGGCAGTAGAGCTGATTGCCAAAACGTGGGCACGCTGATGGCAGAGAGGTCAGTGAGAAAACCGACGGCGAACTGTGAGCTGCAATTCTGGCACATCACTACTCCGCTGTTTAGTTCGCAGAAGACCTCGCTCGGTGCACAAGAGCTGTTCGTAGACCATTCTTCGGCATTGATCAACGGACGAGCCGCCTCAGCAGGAATGCAGCGACTAGGCGAGCCATCGGAATTATAACACATCTGATCAGCGGCTTGGGAATCAACGCCACTTGCAAATAAATAAACGACAAGAACTACGGATAATACGAATACGGAACTGAACGCACCGGTGCCCCTCGCTCGTCCGGGACGAACTGTTTTTCTCCGCCCAATGCGCGGGTCGAACGCAAGAGCATGTTCTCGATGGCACTCGCCACAGACGCTCCCTCTGATGTCTGCCATTGTCATCGGCTCCAAGGAAATTCTACCTTAGCAGTGTAATCCTAATCCTGCCCCGCCTTTCGGCAAGAGGGCTTATTTGCGTCCACTACTACTAACGTGACCGCTAGACAAGGCCGTGTTGCCCCAAGAGACGTTCAGGACACAAACGATCGAGGTGAATTAAGGTTGATTGTTTCAGAATTCTAACATCTTCAGAGCTAACTCGACTGCATTGAGAGTATTACTCGCTGTTCAGCTGGACAATTCCTCATCACTTCATCAGATATTCCTTGTTCAAAAACCACCATGCCTGGCTGAAGCTTGAATTCGTCCGTTGCGTGCGTCCAGTTGCAGTACTGTAGACTTTCGAGTAGAGCCTGCCTACACTACAGTGGAGGTGAGGATTCTACAGGCACGTGCCAGGACTGCCAGAACTGTTCGCTAGGGCTGAAGCAGTGGCAGACTGGGCAAGAAACTCTGACAGATGGAATGCAACTGGCAAAAAGGCGTGAGCTAAAACGTAACACAGCTCAATCAAGCAGCAGACATGAATATCAGGGACTCACACGGGCGCGCACACACACCGTGCATGTACTGTCCTTCATTATGCAGTATGTAGAAGTAAGGCGGTCAAGCATGACATGTTCATCAGAGCCTTTACAATCCATGCAGCTCAATGTCTAAGTCTGGGACATGGAGTTGTACATGTATGCCGTACTAAAGCAGGCATTCGTGGAACTAGAAGTAGAACTCCTGCCATCGCAAGCCAGAGATCACTTTCAGGCTGCAGCAGACTTGGACAGACCGCCATGACCACAATGACATGCCTGTCCATGGCAGATCACGGAGAATGATATTACTAGTACAGGATCTTAGTTCCAAATCCTCCGGATAGATGTATCTGTACGTAGTATGAGCACAAGTAGCAGCAGCAGAGCTGAACTGCAACCACAGCCATTGTAGATGTGAACAGTCTCTGCCAGGCTACAAAGGTATACTGTTAGCTGACGGGATTGACACGCATGCACATACACAAAGAGGTCATGCATCCGCATAGCAGTGCATTCAGCTAGCGTTGCGCTCCACTCCACCACTCAGCCACTATCATTGAATTTGTAATCACTACTAGTACCAGCATGGCAGTAACTGCGTGCCTGTGAAACATCATCACCTGTAGCGTCTCCGTGGCAATGATTAACTCTGTTACTGCCAGGCTATCTTGATAAGAGGTCATAATGAGGAACAAACAAAAACACAGCCTCAGTTCCGATCTCAACTCGTTTGCATGGATATGAGGCTGTACATGTACAATCATGCGGATGTGTAAACTTCTGTGGGGTACCAAAGTTCCAGGAGCTTTCTTGCTTCAATATTCCAGGATGAGCAGTCGACGGGTACTGAACCCCACACTAGACCTGCATAATACCATGCAGTACACGCATACTATGCTACCTGTCGCTCTACCAATGAAGCATATCCTTGGCACGCTAGGATTATGAGATCGATAGCACCAACACCTTGTACCATGCACATGATCCAACCCTACATAAATAATTACTCTTGAAATCACTGGGTGACCTGAGACTACCTCAAACAAAATTTGAGGATGGAGGATGTACTCAGAATAAACAATAGCCTGATAATGTCCACTTTTAAACACTCCCAAGTGATGAAGTATATCCCGTGTGATTGCTGTTCAACGGGCATGGGATATATGAGGAGACATTTTAGAACCTTTAAACATTCTCTCGCATCAGTGCGATTTGGGCTCTTTCATGTAGGTGCTCAGGTTCAATCGCATTCAGACTGAACATTACATTCACCTTCTAGATCTCCACGTCATGATCATGCATGCACCAAATCATCACATTCTATGTCACACACAGTTCTGTTTTACACACCATTGACGGTTCTAGTTTGCATGTCAGCAGGTCTCACACTATGCCGGCATTTCATATGCATGGTGTGATGTACACCTAAAACAGGTAACACCATCCACTATCAGCATCACCCACCATTCTACATGTGCATGTACATGTAGAATACACACAACAACAACATTCTGCCATGCATGTAGATTCACGCCATGCATCAATCCTATAATTATAACAGATGCACCGCTCAGCTAAGCTTCTATAATGGCGCACAACTCGTTATCACACCGCAGCATCGCACAAGATTCCTCCGTATTGTCATCACAATGGATCTGCATCACACCGTGCTTATGTACATGAAGTTCTCAGTACACTGCCCCTAGTACATCACACAACGGGGGTTGAACCCCCTAAACTCGTACATTATTGACCCAGGATGGGTTGCCTGGTGAGCTATACCACCCAACACTGACAATAATTATACTATATAGATTGAGAATATGAAACTTTGAAGTTTGATGACAAGGAGGGGATATTATAAATATACTAGTACTTCAATTCGGGAAAATCTTTAGCCAAAACATCACTCATAATAATATTGAATTAAAAAATACTATAGGTGAATGATTTGTTGAATGAATGTTCCAATCAAGACCTCACGAATAACTCAAGCAAAAAATAGAAGTGACTTTCCACTTTGAGAGCCAGCTTCAAAAGTAAAACGACGTGATAATTTCTAAAATCGACATGAAAACACGAAGCACCGCGACATATCACAGATTGTCGCCACACAATTCTACTTTAATACACATGAAAATTACAAATTCCACAGCACACACTGAGGCCCTGGGCCCTCTAAAAAGTGAGGAAATGCCACAAATCTCTTCGGAAATTAAAAATAAATTAACAGACATCATTTTTCAAAATGCGCAAGGCCACTGATCTCAAACTCGACAAGTGGGGAAACAACCATCTGTCTACTTTAAAACACATCGCAAATCAAACCAAACCAAACGGCATCACAATAGGGACTGAACGCGATAAGACACAGGGACACAGAAGACAGAGAAGAAGCAGATGATAATAGTACGAGTTGTCCTAAAAAAACTAGAAGACTTGGATCAGTTGGGGAAAAAATCGCACCGATGATGCAGTGAACGGGCACATATGCCTCAGTTTCAGGTTGGTGTCTCGTACAGTGGTGTTAGAAAGACCACAACAAGACCGACACACACGCAGGTGACTGCACGTACTGCCAGTACTGTACTGATTGGCGTGCTGACGCGCATAACCATGACCCACTCGATCTGCGGACATATCGCGGACAGGTAGCGGACAATACCCTATTCGAGAAGTGCGCGTTTGCTGCGTAACTGCGTTCGAGACCTACCACTGCAAACTGTTACTGCTACACTGCAAGCAATACGCATGGCACCCACTGGCACTGGCCATAGTAACTGTTATAGCGGAGAACACTGTCCAAAGCAAGAGTTGTACTAGTCTTCAACTCTAGTGGCATATAGTCATTACAGCTCTGCACAGTAATGCTGGGTTGGTTGCTATAGTAACCATGTGCCACACGTTCGTGCCTGTGCACTCCCACGGTTGCTATAGTAACCCTGTGCCCCACTTCCGCGCCTGCGAGCTCCTGGTTCCACTGCTGCCGACCTGGCCGGCGTTGAGCAGCGGACACCTGCACAGGACCGGCAGGAAGTCGTAGCACAGCGTTATGGACTTGGGACGGATGCGCGACCCACCCTCGTAGCCGCAGTCCTCCAGCGTCAGTGCCTCGTCCAGCGGTTCGCTGTCGTCCCAGTCTTTGTCACGGTCTTCCGGCGAGATATACCTGGAGTGCGGAAAGGGAACATCAGCAGCAGCATACAAATGAGAAAGAGTGGCAGCAGACGAAGAAGCAGAAACCGAAAACAGCGGCAGAAGATGAAGGAGCAGGAGATGAAGGATCAGAAGCGCCAAGTCCCTAAAGGCGCTCTTTACTCGCTTAATTCCAAGTCTTTTGTGGAGCGTTCGTTCCCCTCAACCTCCCCCCCCCCCCTCTCACTCGCGTCCCTCCCCCCCCCCTTATATAAATTATGCCGGGAAACGTCATTAAAATTCAGGGAGAGAGAGACAGAGACACAGAAAGAGAGAGAGAGAGAGAAAGAGAGACTGTACTCAGAGTACGTGTGGTATCATACGATCACTGTCATCACTGTCAACACAATACATACCTGTATATGGATAAGGAAGACGTGGTGCCACCGTGCTCTTCGTGGACGCGCCGAGCCAGTGCGTATATGGTTGTGGACGAGCAGGCACTCAGCACTAGATGACACGGATGATCGGGTCGCTCGCGAAACTCCATCAACTTCAAGTTCACGTGTAAATAACTGCAGGGAGAATCAAATACAGCATGGTGAAAAATAATATCTTATTCTCTAAAAGAATGAACTCAGATGGAGAGCCAAGGATTATTTATAAAAAGAATATAGGACCAAGCTGATTGTTTAGTAACTGGTGGTGTTAGGGGACATTACATTGTAACTTGTAGTTCCTTGGTCCTTTATATTTCTTATTCTCTACAGGTTGATTTTTAGTACACATATGCATACCACCAAATGTGGAAATGTTTTCGGCATTTCACACTAGACTGTTGTTGTCGACCTGCAAGGCACGCGGGAGTCCATTGCGGGACAAAACAAGGACTGATTTACTTTACAACAAGCATGCGCATTATAATACAGGCGAGAGACAAAGACATTTCGGAGAGAGACAATGCTGCGACAATCACTATACACTACATACAGAAGTCAGCAATGATATGATTCTGCCATTGCTGACTTTCATGGACTGTCATTCACAGAACAACATGGGCAAGCAAGGCTTGATAATCGCTACTCTGAGCTTCATGCTTAAGCGGAATTCAAAGAAGCTTTTTTTCGATGCGATGGGCGACGCAATCTGCGACAGAGGCGTGCAATGCGAACTCGCGAAATACCATTCACAGAAGAAGTCAGAGATGCGACGACGCCTTGGTGATTTGGCGCGAAGTTCAATGCAGGTGGGTACGTCACCATGGTATTCGTGTGGTTTGGTACAACTTGTACACATTTACAGGCAAATCTTGAACCTTTGTGCGACTTTGATGCAGAAAAGGTCAAAATCGTACGCCACATCGCATCGCAAAAGTTGAGACAAGCTCAACTTTTGCGATGGCCCATTTGCATACTGGCCAATCCTCCCGGTTTTCCCGGGAATATCCCGGGAAATCAACACTACTCACGGGGTCCCAGGGATTTCCAGCAAACTCCCGGAAAAGTCACAGTTTTGTCTGATACAGGATTTTCCTGAAAACTCCATGGATTCGCCCGAATGTCCCGGTGTTTGCAAAAATATGTACGGTGCCATTCGCACTTCGACCTGTGCACGACACTTTCAAGACCTGACCAGCCTAGGCTGCAAGATCTGCACTGACAAAGTGACAGGCGGATGCCGACTTATCGAACTGCACTGCAGGGTCGAACTGTGCTGTACGCAGATCTGCAGAGTCGAACGTTTTTTGCGGGAAAAGCTCTTTTTCACTTGTTTTTTGCGCCATCAAGGGATTTTGAAAGAAATCCAGGGATTCTGCATGTCTTGTCAAGGGATGGAGGTTTTGGTGGTTGGTCACTATGCTTTTGCGGCAGTTGCGTGGGCTGGGAGATGGCTACGATTTGGGGATTTCCCGGTTTCGCGGCCGTCGAATCGCAAAAAAATGCTTCTGTGAATCCCGCTTTGCGCAATCACCAGGCAACATGAGGATGCTACTGCTATTGGACTGTTATTCAAATAGTGCAATATAGAACATACCGTGGATGGCTGGGTGTGTATGGATTCCACAGGCCCAGACCACAGTGAGGACACAGCTGCATGGGATCGCGCAGTAGAGTCAACGGTGGCAGGCCGTCACCCTTGGCGGCCGTCGGCTTCGGGTGACGATAGCGAATTCCATTCTTGAACTCCTGCAGGCGTAGATGATACCACAGACCAAGCAAAAAAAACCAGACAAGCGGATGAAGAATATTATTAGAAAGAAATTTGAAGCAAGTATACATTTTGCCAATGCCATATTCATGCATGTACGGACGCAGCAGAAACACGCAGCAGGATTACCCCGAACAGAAGAAAAAGTCTCTCAGGAATATCAACCACTCACGTTTTATCATTTTGTGCAAATCCCCCCACCTCCATTTACGTTACTTTCCCATTGGCTATTGCGACAGTGGTGTGTGCTCTACGATAGAGACTTCTCACACAGAGTGTCGATTGCATACCTGTTAGCCATGCAACAAGCTACACCTTAAACAACTACAGTGGTGCTCACGGAAATCCGAGCCAATGTGCAAAAGTGGCGCCCCTGGCCCATGCCCGATGACATGACTGTACGTGTGCATGTGTACGTCCAGTCGCATCTGTACCACTTCCAGAGCGTCAAGGGCGGTGGAAGTTGAGGTCATCAAGTATGCACTGTGGGTCGGATGTCACCAAGCACAACTTTAAAAGAGTGTTAGCCCAGAACCCTTTGTGATCCTGAAACGCTCGCGATTTTCGCGATGGGTGTGAAATCGCGAAAATAAGTGGGCACAAAACGCGAAACTGTAGACTCCAATCGCAAACGTTTGCAGGCACAAAATGGCCTGTCATCGCAATTCGCGAACTAAAATGGGGGCAAACAATTCCGGCATACAGTAACAGTAGAACACAGTTCCTTACATCAAAGTCCAGGTCTCCGCTCCCGTCGATATCGATCAGTTTGATGACCGCCTCCACCTCCGCTTCCGTAAACGGTGCTTTCAGTCGTGTCATGCCTTTACGGAACTCATCATGCGATAGTACTCCATCGCCGTTCTCATCAAACTGCAGAATACGGAAAAATTCACATTTTTACACACGCGAGCACACCCGCAAACATACACCCGCAAGCACACCCGCAAGCACACCCGCAAACATACACTCACACACACAAACTCGCTCAGACACAGACACAGGCACAGACATAGGCAAAGAGACAGACACACACACACACACACACACACACATCACACACACACACACACACACACACACACACACAAACACACACACACACACACACACGCGCGCATGCATACTGATTGACCTTGACACTGCTACCCACCAAAAAGAGCTCAAACTCTGAACAGCTAGGAAAACCTTGTTGGGTCTCATCAGCGAAGCTCAGAATGACCAATTGGAGTCGCAGCGCATTCAGAATAAAATAAGAGTATATCCTCCCATGTTTTTTGTTTTTTTCTATTATTCACAAACCCAAATCGTAAAATAAATAATTATGTGGACAAAAACAAACAGCTACTGAATGTGGGGGAGCGAAGTCAGACTAAATTATGTGTCTGGCCTTGGATACCTTGCTGCGGTCTGACATGTTTGAATCATGGTTTCCTCACGACGTCAAAAACAGAGAATTTACACATGGCGAATCTTCAGCTGCTAAAACACAAACATACATGCTCGCACACATGCCCCCCGCGCACACACAACTACCACCACACATAAGCACAATAGACTAAACCTACCGATCGGAAGAGATCCAGTGCACGACTGGTGTTCTTGAATATCCACTCATTGGCCTTCTTCAAGAATTCTTGCTGCAGCCTCTGTCCTTCTAGCGTTCCATCACCGATTTCAGCAGTTACCTGTAAGAATGTCAGCAATATGACAAGACACCTTGTCAACACGTCTACATAGTCGAGGGGACGGTTTCAAATAGGAAATAGGTTGCAAACCAGAATGGACTCAATATTCACTTTCTCTCTTGGTATTGTGATTAGAAAACATATGTCACAGTGAGACTAACGTTACGATGTGTTTTACTCCGAGCCAAAATGTCATGGCTCTGCGATGACCAGAAGCACCATACCAAGCAGGTGAGTTTTTGACGTGTTGCTTCGCACTGCGACTTGAGTTTAACGTCTTTTGAAAAATCAACTTCTTGTCGCAGGTAAACAGCAGCTCACCTCTCGCCAATAAAGCACCTTATACCAATCAAAACTGATGGAAGCACACACAAGGCTTATTGTTACTCTGTACTGGCCATCGTGGAGCGATAGCAATTACCTAATTTCAGAAATCAGAGTGAATTTGACGTGCACTCTAAAACCTTTCCGGTTCGGAGCCACCTCTGATTTGAAGCGAAAAATTGAGCAAATTGAAGGCAATGGGCCAACACAAAGGAGTGGCCCAGTTCGATCGACTCTGGCCTCAGAGCAAACTTCAAAATGCCAGTTTCCTTCCACAAACATATTTTGAGTGCATAATTCACGCTGATGATTGGTTTGGGTCTATACAACATTGGCTGTCAAACTGTTCCGGTACCGAACCGTCTCCTCTACATGGGGTGTGTGTGTGTGGGGGGGGGGGGGGGTACTGAGTTAAAAAGTCCTGGTCACTCAGATCGCAAAGAACTATGGGGCAAAGTACCAGCTTCCAAACTCAAGTGCAAATCGATTCCTCGCGTGAGGCGTTAATAAAAGGAACGGGATACTCATGAGTAGTCTGTTTGACTATGCTGTGCACAAACACTATGGTTCAGTGAGGATGCACGGTTCAACTTCACGTGCATGAAGGCAGAAGAACAAGGACAATCAAGGCTTGTTCGCCGCTACTTCAAGTTTCACCGGAGGATGTACCCAGTGTGCTGACAGTGCTCAACACCGCGGAGGCAGAGCGTAATTATGAAGCAGTAGGCATACCCCAAACATAGCAAACCTTAGTGGCCGAGGATTTCTTGGCGAACGCTTTGCGGGTCCCCTTGGCACTGCCGCTCTTCTTGCCTGCAGACTTCCTGCACATACCGAACACACAGTCACAGTCAGTCACAGTGAGATGTGTGAACGGTGCTTGACCCATTGGAATTTCGGAGAGATTGACTGGTTCCGTTCGCAAACCAGCATTTTCCAGACAATCAAGTCTCATGTAAAACCTGGCTCACATTCGACGGGGCACGAGATAACAAGACGTAGGAGCCCGTCGGGAAAAATATGTGTTCGTCTGACACACTCTTGGAAAATCCCGAAATACAACAAATGATTTAAAATCATAGCTTGCTATGATTCAACTCCGTCATGTGAGCCAGTCAGTGAGTTATCATGGGAAGCATTATGTACAGAAAGCTGAAAAGCAGCAGTTTTGCATCGGTGCACAAAGCTGTCGCCTGTTCATACTCGAAATCCAGCCGCTTTGTACGCTTGCGTCCCCACACACGGTATGAGAACGTGACCTGATCAGGGTTCTAGCCAGGGGGGGGGAGGGGGGCAGCACCTCTACCCCCTCCCCCCCCCCCCGGGCAGCACCCCTACCCCCCCCCCCTCCTCCCCCCCGGGCAGCACCCCCCCCCCCCAGGCTAGAAATCTACTCATAGAGCGCAACACCCTACTCATTTTTCGATTTTCGTGTTTTTTTCAGTTAACACAACGAAAAGCGGCCACAAACCAATCGCCCTGGGTGCTCGCCTGTATGTTGCATTTTGTGTGACAAGGCAATGGTAAAAAGATAAAGCAAAGTAAGGCGGATTCATGGCCGCATCACCTGAAGTACACAACAATACAAGCTTGCCCAAATCTGTCCAGTCTTCAAGAAAGGTGATAAAAACGCTCCCACAAACTATAGACCAATCTCCCTTCTTCCCATCGTTTCCAAAGTCCTAGAAAGAATCGTCTACGACCAGTTCCGGCAGTTCATGGTCTCTGCAGGTGATGTTATACCTGACGAACAGTTCGCCTATCGCTCCTGTCATTCATGCGGTGACGCACTGGCGCTATGCATTGACAGTTGGCAGCGGTCCCTGGACTCTGGCAACGTGGCTGCTGTAGCATTCCTCGACCTCAGCAACGCCTTTGACTGTGTCCTGCATGGCGAGCTCCTTCTGGAGCTGCAGCGCTGTGGAGTAGGAGGCACTGTTCTACAATGGTTCTCCAGCTATCTGTCCAGCCGACCACAGCAAGTGAAATGCCTCCGTCAACCACCTGGAACCCCGTACACGGCCAATCGCGGTGTCCCTCAGGGCTCTGTCCTGGGACCGGCACTGTTCACGGTGTACACCAGGCGCCTACCAGCCTGCCTACAGTCATCCCTCTGCCTCCTGTATGCAGATGACACCAACATCTACGCTGCCGACCCGTCCCCTTCCACTGCCACACAGACCTTGGAACATGATCTGACCCGTGTGAGCAGCTTTCTGGAGGCCCATGGACTACAGCTGAACCCATCCAAGACGCAATTCCTGCTGCTACGGAAACCCAATGTACATGCAGACTGTGCCCTACAGTTTTGCAACAGCCGTATACAGCAATCGCAGCAAGCCAAGTACCTGGGCATCATCATAGATGAGCATCTGTCGTTTCAACAGCAAGTAAGTAACATTAGAAGTAAAGTTAATGCCAAGGTCAATGCATTTCGCCGTTGTCGCCACCTTCTCAGTGCTAGAGCCAAGCGAACTTTCTATCTTGCATTTGTCCAATCTACCCTGGAGTACGCGAGCAATGCGTACGTGCACTGCCTGCGACAGACCACCTATAACGCTCTTATTAGCATCGCGAATCGGGCGATCCGCACTGTCTTTGGCTTCCCTCCCTCTGCCTCCATCCAACCCATCTTAGCTAGACAGCACCTAACACCGTTAAATATTCGCTATGCTGCCAACCTCTATGTGTTTCTACATAGATGCATAAATGCTCGTGCTAGTCCCCTACTTTGCCGACTTTTCACTCCTCGTGCTGTCTCATCATCCCGCACTGCTAGAATTACCCGTTCTCAGGAATTGCTCGGCCTGGTACTGCCCCATGCCAGATTGTATTTTGGCTATCACTCTGTATCTTATCTTGGAGCTGACCGATGGAACGCCCTCCCTGCCGCGATTCGCACCATATCCCTACCTGCTGCATTTCGCTCCGCTATCTTCACGTGGCTAGGGCACCCTGTAAGAAGACCATAGGTCTGTGGGGACTGCCCTAGTAAAATATGAATAAATAATAATAATAATAATAATAAGTGTTGAGGAACAAATCAAGCAAATACATTTGCATAGGCGGGCCACCACTTCACCCATAATAATGCAGACGTCACAAGTGAGTCAGGGGAGAGCGGATAAGTCTCTCAAACAAGCGGGCGTGTAACAGCCCTATAACCCCATAACCCGCATCATAGTGAACACGGACAGAACGGGTGAAGTGTTTGTCCCCCCCCCCCCCCCACCCCACAATTTTCCTGGCTTGAACCCTGCTGATTCAATCCTTCCACTTCTTCCCCATTCGGATAGTAGTATGAGTACGTTTCCGTTCTTGGCGTTCACATTCACGCCAATTGGCGGCGTGAGTGTCCCGTCGCTCCTTACTTGCGAACCAGTTGCACCCCGTCGAATGTGAACCAGGCTATATGACAGTGCGATGGCTCTGTCAGTCCCAGTGCACTGCTGAGCACTGTTTCAGTACCTGTTGCCACCTTCTTATCAAAAAAAGCAACTCTTGAGTTTTGGTTCACAGTTGTACATAAAATGAGTCAAATTTGTGAATAAGACATGTTTCTTCATGCATGTGTGCGCTGAATATCAACAAAGCCTGGCGTACAAACTAATACTGCGTTACTGTCTAAAGTTGGGGGAACTATCCTCACTGCTAATGCATACTGTAGAACTGCTTCGTTTGCTACTTACTTTCTCGGTGGCATGGCAGTGTTGTCTCCGACACTATGACGTGCCTAACACTAGATCCTGGCCGGCCGCTGATTGCCGCCTCGAATAGGGTGCAAATATCGCTACTCTCCAGGCGTCAGAGCGAAAGGCAGGTCAACGCAGCAAACATCGCAGCTTGCTGACCATAATCCGGAGAGTGCACACGTCTGTAATGATCACTTCGAGTTGGGAGGCAGTCTTCTCCACCACTTGTACAGTACTAGCGCACAGCACCTGTATCTAGCGGCGTGGTCTGTACGTACACGCTAGGTAACGGTAACCGATCAACAAGAATACACTGCAGCCATCCAACAAAGACAGCGGTAATACACGCCTTCGCATCATGGGAACGCAATCGGACGTGAGTCTGTGAGAGCTTGAGAAGTAAATAGTTGAGATCGCCTCCCACGTCAACAATCTCAAATAATTGCCAACGCCAGTAGTCGTAGCGCCTCGCTCTCAAAGGCAGTTCAAATCAAAGACTAAACGGTGACACTTGCGCTGACATCTCTGTTGTGCTGAGCACGAGCAACTAGACATTACAGTCAAAAGAACTGACACCAGGGAGACGAGGAGAACATTCTCCCGGGTCTCCTCTGCAGAAAAAACGGTCTTTGACAGCAAGAAAGCACACAAATCCTGGATGTTGTCGATCCAACTCAGCCAGCTGCGCTGCACACATGCACCGAATCACCGAGGCTTGGAGGGGCCACGCGACATGTCGACACCGGCCACATCATGGCACATGCAGTCTAGTCTAGCCAGCGGCCGTGGCGCAGACACGAGCGTAGCATGATAACTGTTGCAATGTGTGTGGCCCGTCGATCTCCTGCCAGTGATCTACTGCTGCACAACTTGCCACAAGCCTGCAGTGCTGGCACTGCGGCGTCGAGGCTGCGAACGCATCACTGTCAAAAAAGGCATCACGGACTCGGAGACACAAACATCAAACGCTTGAAAGGGCTCGAGCTCGCTGCCTATCTACCTTGATGTCCTCTTTCCCAGCTCA